GTTTATTTATTTTGAAAGAGAAAGCATGAGGGAGAGAGAATCCCAAGCAGGCTCTGCACTCTCAGCGAAAAGCCTAATGCAGGCTCCAACCCACGAACTGTGAGATCATGACCTGAGCAGAAGTTGGATGCTTAACCGACTGAGCCACCCAGCGTACCCCAATCAGTTTTCACATTGAGATGTTAACATATCATAAAATCCACCCTTTTAAAGCATGTAATTCAGTGGTTTTTTTAGTATGTTCACAAAATTGTGTCACGTCCCCAGTGTCTAATTTCAGAATGTTTCCATTCCGTCAACAAGAAACATCATACTCATTAGCAGTCACTCTCCATTCCCCACTCCTGCTCCGTACCCCTGAACCCCTGACAATCACAATCCTTTCTATCTGTGAAGATGTGCCTGTTGTAGGTGTTTTGCATAAGTGGAGTTCTATAACATGTGGCCTTTTTTGTTTGGCTTTCATAGCGCATGTTTTCACAACTCATTCATGTTATAGTGTGGGTTGGTACTACATTCATTTTTAATGGCTACATAATATCTGCTTGCATGGGTATATCACATTTTGATTACAGACAGACAGCTTCGTTTCCACGTGACTATAATGAGTAATGCTGCTATGAACATCTGTGTGCAAGTTGTTGTGTGGCCATGTTTTCTTGGGTATATACCTGAGAGTAGAATTGCTGAGTCATATGGTAACTTTTTTGAGAGAAAGAGAGTGCGCTAGTAGGGGAGAGGAAGAGGGAGAGAGATAATCTTAAACAGGCTCCAAGCCTAACCTCAGGCTCCGTGAAGCTCCACGAAACTTGGTCATCTCATGACTGAGATCCTGACCTGAGCCAAAGTCAAGAGTTGATTGCTCAACCATCTGAGACACCCAGGCACCCTCTACGTTTAACTTTTTGAGGAACTACAAGACTGTTTACCGCAGCAGCATTTCACATTCCCCCAACAACGTACAAGGGTTTCAGTTTCTTACCAACACTTGTTATTGTTTTTGTTTCTGATTATAGCCATCCTACTAGGTATGAAGTAGGTATCATTGTGGTTTTGATTTGCATTTCCTTAATGAGTAATAATGTGAACATGTTTTCATGTGTTTATTGGCTGTTTGTATATCTTTTTTGGAGGAATGTCTATTAAAATCCTTTGCCCATTTTGGGTTGTTTTTCTTTATATCGTAGAGTTGTAAGGGTTCTTGACATATTCTGGATACTAGACCCTTATCAGGTATATGATTTACAAAATTTTATTTCCATTCTGTGGGTTGTCTTTTACTTTCTTGTTAGTATCAGTTGAAGTACAAACGATTTTAATTTTGTTTTTTTATTTAAAAAAAAATTTTTTTTAAATGTTTATTTTTGAGACAGAGACAGAGCATGAATGGGAGAGGGTCAGAGAGAGAGGGAGACACAGAATCTGAAGCAGGCTCCAGGCTCTGAGCTGTCAGCACAGAGCCTGACCCGGGGCTCGAACTCACGGACCATGAGATCATGACCTGAGCCGAAGTCGGACGCTTAACCAACTGAGCGACCCAGATGCCCCCAAACGATTTTAATTTTGATGTCCACTATTTTTTCTTTGGTTACTTGTGCTTTTGATGTCATGGCTAAGAAACCATTGCTTAATTCAGTGTCATGAAGATTATGCCTGTGATTATTCTGAGTTAACTTCTGTATATGGTCTAAAGGTAAGGGTCCAACTTTATTCTTTTGCAGGTGGGTATCCTTTAGTGCCAGCACTGTTTATTGAAAAGAACACTCTTTCTGGGGCACCTGGGTGGCCCAGTCGGTTGAGCATCTGACTTTGGCT